CTGAGCTATTAAGGTGTGATGGCATGAGGGTGTGATGACCATTTGCATATCAGGTCTTGATTATATAGAATAATAGAGGCCAGGTATATGAAATTTGTGCACAGAGGGGGTTATCCCTCAGCCCAGCCTGCCTCTTCTCCAATTGGGGATCCCTCTCACAATCCAGGACTGCTGGATCTCAACTGCTTGTCTGCCTGCCTTCCTGATTGCCCCTAACCGCTTCTGCCTACCAGCCTGATCACCCCCTAACCACTGCCCTGTGAGCCTGATTAATGTCTAACTTTCCCTCTGCCAGCCTTTTTGCCCCCAACTTCCCTCCATTGCAGGCCTGGTCTCCCCCAACTGCCCTCCCCTGTTGGATATCTTGTGGTGGCTATCTTATTTCCACATGGGGGCAGCCATCTTTGACCACATGGGGGCAGCCATCTTGTGTATTGGAGTGATGGTCAATCTGTATATTACTCTTTTATTAGATAGGATAGAGACCTGGTGCATGGGTGGGGGCCAGCTGGTTTACCCTGAAGGGTGTCCCAGGTCAGGGTGGGGGTTCCCTTGGGGTGTGGGGTGGCCGGGGTGAGAGGCCTGTGGTGGTTTGCAGGCAGGCTATGCCCCCCATCGACCCAAGAAGAGGCCCTGGTATCTGGGATTTATTTATCTTCTATAATTGAAACTTTGTAGCCTGGAGGGAAGCCAAGCCTCCTTCTCTCTCCATGACTGGCAGCCATTTCTGTTGGAATTTATGTATCTTCTATAATTGAAACCTGTGGGAAACCCTAGCCTGCTCTCTCTAGCTCCATGGCTGCCGCCATTTTTCTTGGGATTTATCTTCTGTAATTGAAACTTTGTAGCCTCGAGTAGAGGCCTGGGCCGGCCAGAATGTGTGGAAAGCTTGGCTTCCTCCATTGCCAGGGAAACTCAAGCCTCCCTCCTGCTCTCTGTGGTGGCAGCCATCTTGGTTGGGATTAATTTGCATACTCACTCTGATTGGCTGGTGGGTATGGCTGGTGGGCATGGCTTGTGGGTATAGCGGAAAGATGGTTAATTCGCATATTATTCTTTTATTAGGTAGGATTATTTTTTGCTTATTTAAAATTCAAAACTAACTGTGCATTCTGTATTTTATCTGGCAACCCCATTTCAAGCATTTTTTTTTTTTAAGGTGAGTTTCATATAGGTCTTAAGACTGAAGGCGTCGGTTTTGCAGGCTTGGCAATATGGACATTTGGGCTGATGTTCTTTGATATGGGAGATTGTCTTGTGTGCTGAAGGCTGTTTGGTTGCATTTCTGGCTCCTACTCACTGGGTGCCAGTAGCACCTGTCCCCTCTCCACTGTGACAACCAAATATGTTTCCAGACGTTAACAGTTGAACCCTGGGGAAGGCAAAATCACCTCTAATTGGGAACCACAGCTTGAGAGGTGGTGGTAAAGCAGGATTGTCAAACCTGTCATGATGGTGACCAGAAGGTAGCCCTTTTATCCAGACATGATGCAGGTCCTGCCCATCGGCATTCCTGCATCCTCCAACATTCTGGGCTCCTTCCCAGTAATGTTAGGAGCTGTCTAGACCTGTGTAGAGGAGCCCAATAATCCCGTGTGGATTCTAGTCACTAAGAAGTCATCCTCTCCTCTTGTTGCCTTTCTACACAACTCATATGAGGCTAAATATGACAACTCTTTAGGTTTAACTCAGGCATCTTCTTCAAAGAATACCCAGGAACGGCAGGTGTGCCTCAGTATTTGAACATTGATCTATGAACCAGAAGGTCCCAGGCTCCATTCCTGATCAGGGCACATGCCCAGGTTGTGGGCTTGATTCCCAATAGGGCTGTGCAGGGGGCAGCTGGTCAATGAACTTCTTTCATCATTGATGTTTCTATCTCTCTCCCTCTCCCTTCCTCTCTGAAATCAATATATATAAAGAATATTCCATACACCATAAGCCAAGTACTTATATTTCATCAGAGATTATACCTGTGAATAGTCTGAGTTAAATTTAGCACTTAATGAGCAAACTCTTCCAGTCAAACCACCTGTGTGCATCTCATCTTTTTGCTCCATTTTGTAGGAGAATGAATTCTGTTCTAGCATTTCCACTTACAAATGTATCCTTGTAAAAAAAAAAAAAATGCTGATGTGCCTTTATTTCCTTTTTGTAAAGTTCCTCTACCTCAATATGCTCTCAGACTCCCTTGGAGAAAACAGAAGTGGCGTTTGCTTTATTAACCTTGAATGTTGCATTGACAATTAATTTTGTAGGCCTATCAGCTTAGGTAGTGCACATTTTATTAGCAAGTTAAACGTCACTGGTTTCTTCATTACTTTCCATATTTTGTAGATTTTTAGAGAAGCACGATTTTATACAAACACACTGAGCAAAGCAAAGACAATGTACCTGCCTGGTCATATTGCTGTGGAAAATCTCTGTTCTCAATTCTCTATAACGGTTGTACCTGTTCAAATCTCTCTTACCGAGAGTTTCCCTTCAATAGGAACACTCTTTCCCAAAGACCCGCCTTAAAGAATAACATTGTCTTTATTTTAATCACAGGCCTTCATCATTGTGGAAGAGCTCGGATCCTTCTCAGATTCTAATATTTGTATTTAATCAATAATCACATTTCTTTTTCATCCGTCTTACCTCTGCAATGGCATTTTCCCAGCCGCGTATGTTTTATTGTGTAAGAATGCAATTGAAAGAGCCATTCATGTTTGCAAAAAGGATAATGTTTTATTATTGGTTAGGAAGAAAAGAAATGGCACTCTTTGTATTGCCAACCTCCTGCTCCAGCACAGTGGGTTCTGAGAGGGAGGGACGGGTGAACAGGCCTTGGAAACAGGCCGCAGAAAGCCCCCGGTATTCTGACCACATCATAAAGTAAGCCCTGGTGATTGTGTCTCTAATTGACAAGCATTCAATTCGCATTTGAAATGCATAAGCTTTGTGCCACCTGAGGGTCTGGAAAGAAGAAGGGATGAGGTCAAAATCCTTAACAACAATGCGGCATGACCCCATCAGTGACTCCAGGGACAGGATCCCCAAGACCTCCCGGCAGGGCCCTCTGCTCTCAGTGACTGGACCATGGGAGGGGCCGGAGAGCCGGGGGCAAGGCCAGCACTAAGGGAACAGCCATTTGGGCACCAGCCTGTGGGAGTTGGAGCAGCTGACCTGTGGGCCTGGACAGTAGGAGCTGCGGAGGCACAGGGCTTAGAAGGTTAGAGACTAGTCAGGCCCTGTCACTGCCGCGCACTCACTGTCTTGGGGATGTCAGTTCCTGGGGCCTCTCTTTTCTCTGTGCAAAGGGAGGATGTTGGATGAGAATGTTCCATTCCCATGTAAGAAGCTACTCCTCCCCCACACCGACCTGCGCGTCCTGTGCCCTGTGCACCCAGAGTGGAGCCCTTTCTGCTCTGACAGCAGCCCTGGCCGCCAGGCTGAGGCCGCCAGGCCCTGTGAGCACGGCCGGGCAGCAGGGCCCGCGGGTGCTGGAGCCAGACCGGAGCCAGCGGCCCCTTTCCCGAGGCGGCCCAGGCGGAGTTTTCAGGGTTTGGAGAATTTACTGCTGAGTAGAAAAATGTGTCAGTTTACTACAGAAACCAAATAAATGTAACTTTTGCTTGAAATTACCTAGTCAAGCAAAAGCAGATCCTTTGAAGTTTTTGCAGTTTGCCTGGATTGCAATAAGTTCCCTGCCTCTCCACCTCACTGTTGCCGTCTCTGCTTGGTTATTGATGCATTGTGCTTTTTATATCCAATTAGTACAGTGCAGCATCTCCCCGGAACACATAGGAACACAGCAACGAGTCATGCCATCCCTGCAGGAGACAGAACGAGTCCAGTGTAACTTCAGCCTAGATGTGTTTCCCCCGAAAGTAATCTGGTTGATTTGAAAAGTACATTCTAATTTACATAAAATCTCTTTTTAAAACTGTAATTGATATTTTAGAGAGAGAGGCAGGGAGCGGGCGAGAAGGAAACACAGATTGGGAGCACGTGAAGAGCTGCCTCCGGCTCACCCCGCCCGGGACCCGGCAGGTGCAGCCGGGAGTCCAGCTGGAACCTTGCGGGCAGCGCACCCTGAGCCACTCCGGCAGGGACACACAAATCCTCTGGCAATCTGTAAGTGTGTGGAGGCGCTCAGCGTAATTCTTTATTACCTTAGACTTCATCAGGAGAGAACACGGTGCTTTTGAAAGCACTTGCTGATTTGGGAAACCGTGCTGAGGGGGCCTCTAGGTAGTCAGTCCCTCGGCACCTGCGCAAATGGGTCAGCAAGGCAAGCTGATTCTGTTTAATGTCCCGTTGCCTGTGGGACCTGACAAACAGAAAGGAGGCAAACGAGGAATCGATGATCTGGGCCATTTTCTTGAAACTTGCACAGAATTCCCATTTCCGCTCACTGGATAAAGAAGGGCCTTTCCACAGCCGGTTAAGAACATGCGTCACTGGCGAGGCCACAGCCTTGGACATGGAGTAACACGGGCTGGAGCCCCCGGCTCCCTCAGAGGACATCATGTTCGAAATCCACTGCAGGTGCTTCCAGACATCTGCTGTCATTACGGGGACATGGTTTCTAATTTATTTAATTCCCTTTCCTACCTAAACCGTACAGATAAGTGAATTTTAAGAGATCGTATAAATAAATTTTTAATTACAAAATGATGTTATGCAATACATTATTAATAATAACCAATGTTTATGCATGAGTCCATTAGAAAGATGAGCTAATATGTGTCAATGGTAAAGAATGCACTAATTTGTCCCGAGTCTGCGAATGGAGTCACATTCATGCGGCAAGCAGCGAGCGCACTAGCACGGCGGTCAGCATGCTGTGTGGCTGGGACACATCTCTTGCCCACGGCGTGGAGGAGGCACGTAGGCCGTGCTCATCGCATGCGATCAGCATCTCAGTTTCCAGCGAGCCATGCGGGTGTGGAATTTGGAAAAAGCTCTTTGAGGGACACGGCTGACTTCCCAGGCTCCGCGGGCAGGCCCTCCGGCTAGCGGTAGCAGATCTCTGAAATCTCCATGGCCAGCTCCAGACACTCGCCGGTCTCGTGGCAGGACTCAAACAGGCTGCAGTCCATGTCACAGTTGCAGTTGCAGTCGTTCCGGGAGTGGCCTTCGTCCGAGGTGTGGTGGTAGCGGTAGGAGGGGCAGCACGTGTTGGTGCACACCGTCTCACAGGTGTCCGGGAGCATCAGGAGGCAGTCCCAGAACTGGCAGAAGAGGCAGGTGAGGATGAGGGAGGCACACTCCTCTGGGTAAAGAAAAGACAGTGAGCAGGGCGCGGGGCGGCGGCGTGGAGGGCTGGTGTGGCCGTGGCCGTGGCCGTGGTAGCTCACCCCCTTCTCAGCTCCTGTCCACGGCCTGCCGGCGGGCCCCGTGCTGTCTGAGGCTCTCCCCCCACGCAGGCTCCCTCTCCTTAATGGTGGCTTATTGGCTTCTCGAGCGTTTCCTATTGATCCCACACAATCGGCTCATTTAGAGCCTGCCACCTCTAACCTCCTCTGTTCACTGGGCATGCGGAGCTGCTGGGAGCCACACAGCTGTCCGGAGACCAGCAGGTCCTCGGAGCAGGGACGGTTCAGGAGCAGTTAGGGTTGGGACAGGGAAAGACTACAAACTTCTCGGATTTGGTCGCAAGGCTTTCTTATTTGTTTGATGTGGATTCCCATGCACTCGCCACACCTGTATTCAAATCCAAGCGAAAAGCACCTTTCAAAACCTAATGTCAGTAATGTTTAACTAACCATAGTTTTATTTTATTGTATTCTCTGTTTAATCCTTGTCTCTAGTTTTCCCTCAGTTCTATAAAACCTCGATTAGAAGAATACGTCATTATATTCCTAAAAAGGTATAAATCTGATCAATCCCTTTTAAGAAAATTGGTCTAGAGATTTACTATGCAGACTTGTAAAAACCTGAAAAGTATCTCTAAGGCCTTGAAGGTAATTGGCAATTCTAGCCAAACAGCTGTGATGGGTTATAGGTTGTTATATTTTTGGTTTTTATAAAGGGAATTAGTTAGAAGATGTAGCAGTTCTCTTGTTAAAATTGTAACTTCTCTTTTTAGTTAGAAATTTCCCAAAAACATGGGAGTGTTTTGTAGAAATCTACCTAAGTGTTCGTGTGACATGTCCTGTGAATGAGATCAGTGCCCTGGAAATAGCTGGTGAGAAGGGAAGGGCTTCCCCAGAAGAGAGAAGAGCTTTGCCTTTCAGACTTTCCTTGGCAGAGACCCTGCAGCCAGAGGGAGGTGTGCTGTCCGGCCACCGGCCAGCAGTGCAGCCCTGAGCCCCTCACTCAGCCTCAACAAGCTTCCCAGGAAATGTTCCCTTTCATCTTTCCTGGACTTGTTAATCCTCAAGAGAGAAGAAAGAGCATGGGAACCTTTCTAAAAAGGAGCAAATGTTTTAAAGAGAGCCGTTTTAATTTCTTCTACAAGACACTGTGTCCAGCGTGAGTCCTGCCTGGGTGGACATGGACAGAGCCTTCCTCCTGTCCGCCCTGCCTCCTGGCCCGGCCCCCCTTCCCCAAGACACAGCGGTGGAGGCCACCCTGGGCTTCCGTGGCCCTTTAACCGCCAGGCGTGGGTGCAGGCAGCGCTCCCTCACACCTGTACAGGACGTTCTCTCTGCCGGATGGTGCATTTTTATTCACCAACGCAAGATCACCTCACCCATGTCTCCTAAGTCTCAAAGCACCCACAAAAACTCAGGAGTGAGCACAGTGCAGACTCTGTTTTGCGTATGCATTTCTGTTCAAGGCGTGTTGGTGGTCAAAGATCTGGGCTTAAAACCTTTCCAGTGTCACCAACACCAAGCCTGCTGCCGGCAGCCCGCACAGCGGAGGCGCCCCTAGCAAACACTCAGCAACAGCCCCGACCCCGCAGGCTGAGGCGCGAGACGTCCTCGGGGCATGACCAGTGACAGCGACCCTCCTCCACAAAGGAGGTAGTTTGGAGGTGAGGGGGCGGGTGCAGGGGGCTCGTGTCCTGGGAAAGGACAGGGACCTGTCTGTGAAGTGGGCACAGAGCCGCGGGTTCAGTTCCAGTGCCAGGTCTCTGCGAGTTGGCAGGTGCCAGAGGCCTGCTCCTGACGTCTGCCATCCGTTTTATTAAAAAAAAAAAAGAAAAGAAAAAAAGACGTTTTCACCCACCTCTTGGGCCAAATTAGCATTTCTTTCCTCTCCCTTCTACTTTGCACTTGAGAATAGAGCAGGTTGGTTCTCAGTCCTTTTTATTTGATTATAAAAGGCAGAGCCTTTAACAGAAAACGTGGCAACATTAATGAATTGAAAACAGATCTTCCCCAACTTCCAAGTGTGCTCACACTTTTCCCAACGCCCTCTGACCCCGTTCTGCACGGCAGCTCACGCTGGCTGCGTGGTCCCTTCGCACAGGAGGGGCGGGTGGCCATGGGGGCACTGGCCACGGCTGCTGGGACCAGGCCAGGCTCCCTCCGTGCTGTTTTCTCTGCCGGCACCACTCCGTGGCCTCCGTGCTCAGTCAGCGTGGCAGTCCGAGCCCCAGTCCCTGACGGCCACCCCTCTTAGGGGTTCTGGAGGCCGCGATGGCCCGCCAGCCTCCCGTCTCATGCAGGGGCTTCGGAACATCTCACCTGCCCGCCAAGGCCACGCACCGGCCGCCCGCAGCACCGCCGGCTCGGCGCCCGCACACACAGACAGTCTCACAGGAGCCTGCAGCTCTGCCATTTCCCTCTTCCTCTCACAGGCTCCCCGCGGTTCTCCATCGAGCCCCTCTGATTCTGTCTCAGACTTTTATTTGAAGCCCATAAGGCTCTGTCCACATCCTTAGTTCTGGCCGTCTCAGCCTTCATCTCATCCTCAGCCCCAGCCTCCTACCGAGGCCCCTGCTCCCCACGGGCCCTCTGACTCCCCAGCTACTAGGACAAGCTCAGCCATAAAGGAGGTCAGTCACCCTCTGGGAGCCCCGGGCTGCTGCCAGCTGGGCGGAGGCCTCCATTGCCCTGCCTCAGTGGGACCTGCTCTCCTGTCCCGCTCCCGCCCTCCCCTCCGCTGACTTCCAGGCCTGGGTACCCCTCCTGGGGCCCGTGTCCTCACCCCTCCCAACCTGACCCATCAGCCTGGGGGCCCGTGTCCTCACCCCTCCCAACCTGACCCATCAGCCTGGGGGCCTGTGTCCTCGCCCCTCCCAACCTGACCTAACCATCAGCCTGGGGGCTCTGGCCGTGACCCTCCCTGAGCCGCACACCGGCTGCGGCTCCTGTTTCCCCTTCACAGAGTGACACAGTGATGTGAACAGCCAGCTCCTCAGGAGCTTCTCCTGCCCCGAACCCGCGCCTCGAGCAAGCCGAGCTCCTGCTGCCGGGCTGAGGGAAGCGAGGGAAAGGCATCCGCGGGGACAGGGGGGGGAGGGCACTGAGTGCCTCAGCGGGTGGGAGCTCCCAGTTCCAGCCATGCCACCTCCTCTGGGGCTGCAGCGGTCCTCCCAGCAGGGAGGGGTGGTTAGGTGATGGTGGGGGGGATGGTTAGGTGCAGGTGGGGAGGGATGGTTAGGTGCAGGTGGGGAGGGATGGTTAGGTGCTGGTGGGGAGGGATGGTTAGGTGCTGGTGGAGAGGAGTGGTTAGGTGCAGGCAGGGGGGGATGGTTAGGTGATGGTGAGGAGGGATGGTTAGGTGCAGGTGGGGAGTAATGGTTAGGTGCAGGCAGGGGGGGATGGTTAGGTGATGGTGAGGAAGGATGGTTAGGTGCAGGTGGGGAGGGATGGTTAGGTGCAGGTGGGGAAGGATGGTTAGGTGCAGGTGGGGAGGGATGGTTAGGTGCAGGCAGGGGGGGATGGTTAGGTGATGGTGAGGAGGGATGGTTAGGTGATGGTGGGGAGGGATGGTTAGGTGATGGTGGGGAGGGATGGTTAGGTGCTGGTGGGGAGGGATGGTTAGGTGCAGGCAGGGGGGGATGGTTAGGTGCAGGTGGGGAGTAATGGTTAGGTGCTGGTGGGGAGGGGTGGTTAGGTGCCTGCTGGGAGGGATGGTTAGGTAATGGTGGGGAGGGATGGTGAGGTGCAGGTGGGAAGGATGGTTAGGTACAGCTGGGGAGGGATGGTTAGGTGCAGGTGGGGAGGGATGGTTAGGTGCAGGCAGGGGGGGATGGTTAGGTGATGGTGAGGAGGGATGGTTAGGTGATGGTGGGGAGGGATGGTTAGGTGATGGTGGGGAGGGATGGTTAGGTGCTGGTGGGGAGGGATGGTTAGGTGCAGGCAGGGGGGGATGGTTAGGTGCAGGTGGGGAGTAATGGTTAGGTGCTGGTGGGGAGGGGTGGTTAGGTGCCTGCTGGGAGGGATGGTTAGGTAATGGTGGGGAGGGATGGTGAGGTGCAGGTGGGAAGGATGGTTAGGTACAGCTGGGGAGGGATGGTTAGGTGCAGGTGGGGAGGGATGGTTAGGTGCAGTGGGGAGGGATGGTTAGGTGCTGGTGGGGAGTAATGGTTAGGTGCTGGTGGGGAGGGGTGGTTAGGTGCAGGTGGGAAGGATGGTTAGGTCCCCCGGGGAGGGGTGGTTAGGTGCCCTTAGTGAGGGATGCTTAGGTTCCAGCCTGGAGGGGAGGAGATGGCAGAGCCTTCATGCTGCTGCCAACTGCTGGGTTCTCCCTGGTCCTGTACTTGGCAGTCTGCCTCTCAGGCTCCCTCCCTGGCACCCTCTGTGAATTTCCTCCCTGGCTGAGCTACGGCCATCCTGGCAGAGGTTCCAGTCACTCTGTCTGCTGCCCACCTCCAGTCCCCTCTCTGTATCTTCTAAATGGGTTAAAAGCTTTAAGAGCAGCAGGCCGCAGGGCAATGCTGGCACTCTCTCTGAGCAACTGGCCAGAACAGAAGCCCTGAGCTGTGACTTTCCTTTCCCACCCAGGCGCCTGCAGGACCGGAGCCTGGGCACCCTGATAACAGGGAGGATGGATGCGGGCTCCACAGGTGCAGCCGACTAAGGTGGTGTTGGTGGTGGTGGTGGTGGTGGCGGGGGGTGCTCATTACAAAGAGTCACATGTGATCACAGTGGAAAAGGTGCCACTACAAGGAGTTTCCACAAATGCTGGTTTCATGGCCACACCCTGTCCTCCCTGAGAACCCTCCAGCTTCCAGCCTGGCCCTGGGGCCAGCCCTGACCCCTGACCCCTGGGACCTCCCCATGCCCTCTGGTCCCTGGGGTGTCCCCTTCCCCCTGACCCCTGGGACCTCCTCCTACTTCCTTCCCCCTTGGGGTCTACTCCAGCCCCCTGCCCCCTGCCCCCTGCGGCCTTTTTCTGGGCCTCCCCTGGTGCTGGGATGAGGGTCGGAGATGGGGTGGCAGGAGCGGGCCTGCTGGTAACACTCAGCCCCAGGAGCTGCCCCCTGCTGCTTTGAGAATCAGCATCCAAAACAGCAAGATGATGGTTCTTCCAGGAGTGACCCCAGAAAAAGAGCAATCACCCTTCTTCTCCCCAAACAGAGGCGGAGAGCAGGCCCGCGGAGCCTGCTCAGATCCGGAGAGCTTGCCGGGAGCCACAGGGGCTGTGCAGGGGATCTGGCGGAGCCAGGAAGCTCGCTCGCAGAGGCTCTGGGCGGTTACTGGAAGGTCTTGGTCAGAAAGTGCACACATTGGTTCCCACTCCCTGCACGCAGGTGTGTGTTTGTAAAACATCTGCGCTGCAGAATGAGTAAGTATGACTGAGTGCTCCTTCCAGCCAGGATCACCCTGCCGTCATCCATGCCGGCAGTTCCTTAAACATGTCAAGATCCATTTAGGTTCAGACAAGCACAACTAATATCCAGTCAGTTCTCTAGAGCCATAATGACTGGATCTGGGTGATACTTAGTAAATTTGTGCTTATGTTTTTTTTTTTTTTTTTTTTTTTCTGAGCAAATGAACTGAAATAATTATAAAATTGAAACACTTTATAAGGTGACACTACTGCATTTAATTGTATGAAATTTGCTGGGGAGGAAATGTAATCATTTTATTCAGTAGCCCATGGTGTAATTAAGACTGTTCTTTGGAGGTATCTTGTATTTATGATCTCCTCTTCCATCTGGATGAGACATCTCAGATTCAAAACTATACACCAATTAGGTGTGCTCCCAGGATTCCTTTCGGGAGCCTGTGTTCTCACACCACCGTCCCCTGCTTTCCGTACCCGCGGGGATGCTTCTGCAGTCAGAAGGTAGAAACTGCGGAGGCGGCGGTGCCCGGCCTTCTCCCGTGCATCCAGAGGAATGCTGCGAAACCCCATCGTGCACGTGACCCGCACGTGGGAGGCTGTCCGTGCTGTTCAGCAGGACGGGCTGTGTGTGTAAATAATGGACACCAGCAACTAAGCGCCGTCCCCGCACTCACTCTGCGTTTGGAAAGAAATGGGCCGCACGTGGCACGGGAGCAGGCGTGATCCCTCCCCTCGGTCCCCGCTGGCTCTGGAAGCGGCTCCTGCATTTATCTCCGTGCGAGTGACCCGCTCCCACTGGCTGCCCCTGAATTAATCACGGAATTCTCCACCGGGAAGCCTCTGACTTAGCTCTGACTCCCCTGAGCGTGTCCTTCAGGGTAACGGAGTGTGGTTCGGTCACGGAGTGTGGCCTTGGCCTGGGTTCCCCTCCCACCGTCTCTCACCGTGGGGGAGGGCTGCCGCTGTGGGAAGGAGGGGAGGAGGGTGTGCTGGCCGTGAGCCAGAACGTCCTGGTCACTGGCCTGCGCCCGGGCCTGCAGAAGCGGTCCAGTGATGCCCACAGCTCCCTTCAGCTCTTAAAGGAGGAGGACGTGGGATGCTCCGCATGGCAGCTGCTTCAGTGCGGCAGTCCTCTGGCCTGAGAATGGGGTGTGCGGCACCACACGGCTGCTCCTTCTCCCGCCCCTGCTGGGGCACAGAGGCCTGCGCCGTGCTGCCCGGTGTGCCTGAACACCGGGGCGCTTTACAATTCTGGGGTCACACGGCCAGGACCTTTACAAGGAAGACCCTGGTGTCCCTGACACGAGCTGACAAAATGCAGGGGCCTCTCCTGCATGGCCTGCTTTCCTGCTTGGCCTCAAACTGAAAACGCCAGGAACTTGGGCATCATCTTGGACTTGAGGTCATGACCTGGCAGTCCGCAGGCCAACATGGGCCCGAGCTGCTGGTCTGTGTGGGGGTTGGTAAGGGAACAGGTTCCCAGACACTAGTGGGCGCTGTGCCTCTCCCTCCTCCTCCACCTCCCCTGCCTCGCCCTCTGATCACCTCCTTCCAGTTTACACCAGCATCCCAGCGTCTCCTGCTGACCAGGCAGCTGGGTCTGTGGCTTCTGGTCTAAAGCATCCATGACAACGTTTGTACAAGACACCACCTATATGACATGTTAGAATCTTCTCTTCCCTATTTTCTAAAACTGTAATCATCAATAAAAGCACACCCGGGACCTATGGTGTGACAGGCTCTGCACCGGCTGCTGCACACATGTCATTCAGGTCACCTTCAAAGCTCTGCGGGCTGCTACCGGCCCGTTATGTCACCAGAGGCTGAGCTTCAGAGTTGGCAACAAACAGACAAACAAACAGTTTTGCAGGTAATGATTTCAGAGCCAGGAGTTAAACTGATGTGATTCCAAGTTCCTCTTACACAGACTTTGTTTAAAATTTTTTTTTCTTATTTGTAAAAAGTAAATATGAATTTAATTACATACCAGAAACTATACCTGTTTGAATTTTCCTTTGAGAAACTCCTTCTAGCTTTCTCTAAACACAACGTTCTTAAATGGCTTATGTCTCCCGTAAAGGCCACTGCACAGTTACCCTGAGTGCAGTTCGCATGTCTTGGTGTTGTCCGTGACTTTGAACTTGACTATCCTGAGCAGTTAGCTCCAAATCAGTTGGAAACAGGCTTTGCGGACGGATGTGCTTTGTCACGTGCAGGGACAGTGTGGTGTAGGTTTGCGCTGATCAGCATGCTTGGGAAGTGATATTGCCTAGAGGAACCAACCCTTTTATGCAAGTTGCTGCTGTAAGTATCTCGGTATTCTATGCAGCCTACGTTTATACTGTCCCAGCATGTCAATGCCACTCCACCCTGCCTTCTCCTCCCCACCTCAACAGTCCCAGATCTGAGGAAAGAAAGTGTGCCCTTTTTCTTCACCACTTCGTAGCCCACAGCAAAAACGAGTGCACCTCACCCCACAGCTTCCAAAGCAGCGTGCCTCTGACTCCCAGCCGGGAGAGCAACCCATCTGCCAAGCACCTCATCATTGCAAAGTGACCTTGACATGTGTCACTCACCAGGGCTCTCAAGTGAAAGCCGTCCTGTTTAATATTCATGCAGCATCCCCCCTAACAGCACATATGATGTGTGCACAGGGCTGGGGGCTAGGAGCTTTATTTAGAGATGGTGGTTCTGAGAAACATACCATCAGTGTCTCTCTGATGAGCTGATGTATCGGTTTGGAGGTAAGAAAATCTCGTTTGACATTCTTCAAGGGAGGACAGTGATGTGGTGGACCCTGGCAGCTTTTTCTCGGTGGAAGTTTCCTTGGCTGACCCATCTGTGATGCTGAACTCCGATACTGAATTGATAACGATAGCGTTAATGGGTTTTTCTTCTGCATGTTTGTCATTTGTGAGTTGCATATCTAGATAAAAAAAGAAAAACACACACACAAGCTCACTATAGCAGATACAATTTAGTGATCCTAAGTATGGACATTTGCAGAAAATTTCACATTCTAGAGTTCTCTAAGAAAAAAAAGTCTTTTTAGAAACAACTTGTAGTTATAAAATAGTCACAGGGTTGTAAATATAGTCAATAATTAACAACTACCTATCACGTCAGGTTGGCGTTGGAGTTACTGGTGGGACGGGACCACTCTGTACAATACATGAGTGTCTAACCATTACACTGTACACTGGATATAAACTGTAGCTTAACATTTTTTAAAAAAACAAAACAAACAATAAAAAAGAATGAAGCATTTTGGAGCAGAAAATTTTGTATGAAAATACAAGTAAGAATAAAAGAGTGCAATAATTATAAAAGTATTAGTCTTCAGAGCACAATTCACATGGGGAACACTTTTAAAATTTGGCATTTTTTAAAGCTCAGACCACCACTTCTCTTCACTCCACCCAACAGATCAGATCGCAGTCCCTGGGGATTTTTGAAGCTCCTCAGTTGATTCCAACATGCAGGCACATTTGAGACTCCCTGCCTCAGGGGCCCTTTGCGTTTGAGAGTGGAGAGGGGGAGAGAACATGCCACTGCTGTGTGCATGAGTGATGTTCAGAAACCAGTCATGACCGGTCGCTCTCCAAGGTCTTGTAACAGAAGGGGAGCTAACAGTACGGCACACACAATTGTCTTAGGCCATTTTATTTCCTTCTGATCCTCCTGATAGCATTGGCTTTCAACAATATTTAATTTTATTCCCAACCCTTATGCTGCTGGCTTTATAGCTCTTAGTGGCAGTTTGATTCATCCTAAAAAGGATTGGCAGAAATAAGTGTTCAGGAAAAACAACTATTGTTGATAGTAATTAATGAAATATTGAAGAGATAGAATTAGCTCAACAGACTGAGAACCTCTTGGCTTCCTATAACCCAAGAGAGATCCACCAAATTAATGATACAAGGATGCTGCTGCTAGAAATAATTTATTTCTCTTGGGTACCAAAGTGCCCAGTAACCAGCTAATATCACAAACATAGCCTGCACACCAGTCCTCAGGGCTCTTAGAACACGTGCTATTTGGGGCCAGATCACTGTTCATGATGGGGGACTGCAGAAAGTTTGGCAGCATCCCTGTCCTCTCCCTGCTCGATGCCAGCGGCATCCGGCACCCTAGGTTGTGACAAAAAAAAGTCTCTAGATATTGCCAAATATTTCCTGGGGGCAAAGCACCCAGGCCGCAAGCCAAATCACGAAGAATGGGGCAAAAGTAGGTTTACAGTTGTAAGCATGTGAGTTTATTCTTGTATTATTATTTATCACTTACTATAGTATTTTCTGTATGAACAACCATAAACCTACTTTTGCCTCACCCTGTACACCTTACTTAACAAAAACACTAAGAGGTCGATACTGCCAGCCTCTCTGAATGGAGAGAAAAGTATGAATTGGTGTCTCCAGCTAGCGGCTGAATGAGTGTAACTGAGGCTCAGATAGTTTATAAGTTGCCTGAAGAATCTTGCTTAGCGCTTCCTGGCTGTAAAGACTGCACATCAGCAAAACCCTCCTCACCCACTCCAGTGACGTGTCCCAACTCAAAATGAAGCCCGGCAGACAGCCTACTGACACGCCTCTCCCGGAACAGCCTTAGCCACACCAGGTGCCTCTGGCACACAGGGACCTGTCGGTCAGGCACAGCAGCTTTGCAAGGCGCAGAGTCAGCTCAGAAAAAGCTGATGGGAACGGAACTTGCTAAGTATGGAGAGTGCAGCAGCCCCGTGATTACAGGTGCAATTAGCAATCAGCTCGAATGACCCACACAGTCAGGCTGCATGGAATTCAAATTGCCTTCGCACAAAGTAATTCAGTAACAACAACAAAAAAATTGGATAGAGGTTACAGAAATACAAGAACATACAAAGAAGATGGTACATAGCCAAGTGGTACACGATTCTCTTTTTAATTTTGTGACAATTTAAGTACAGCAACCATTTGGAGGTACTGGGCTTGTACTGAGAGAATTTTATGGAGAACTTAAACTGCCATTCATAAAGTTATTTTAATCCTATATCTCTGTTTATATTTTTATATTTTTTAAAATTTCCTCGTGGGAACTATCTGTTGCTCATTGGAAAGTCATCTGACACACACCCCAGTCTGTTCAGCCCGGAATCTGACATCTGAAGGAAGCAGTTCCTGGGTGAATGTAAATGACATCTTCTGTCTTATAGATGCAACGCTTACAGCGATTTCCCCAGATTGCATCTTTCATGCTGGTATTTGACATTGTAACAAAGTATTACAAAGTAGCATAAGCTAAAAGGAGAATCACATCAAAATGGTATCACATCTCTGCAGAGAAACTATTTTGGAATTAAATAAGGAACATGTGAAACTATATTTGGGATGTTATAGATAGATCTTGACATTAATGTAGGAAAAATAATTTTTCTCAACAGAAAAAAACACCAATGTTAGGGCAAAAATTAGAAGCTCAACTGTGTTCCTTAGGGGAAAAAATTAAGTGTATCTTAAGTCAGTAAAATAGAAAATTTATGTTTGGGCTAGAAGCAATTTCAGAACCAATGGGCATGCACTTAAATATCAGAAAAGACAGACAGTTAATTAATTTTTTATTACCATTGAGCAAATGCTATTAATTTAATTCAATTAACATTTATTGAGATGCCACATGCAATAGATGAATCAATGTGACAGGAACGATTCATTTATTTACTTTCAGTTATTAAGGAAACACTTTAATCCTTTTTATTTTTGTCCACTAAATGTGACTTTTTAATTTTTGCATCCACCTGTTCACTGGGTGTATATCTATACACACAGTCACATTAATAATAAGCAGCATCTCTCCTCCCTGCTCCTCTCATTCTGTTCTTGTTCATCTGTCCCTTCTCTTCCTTTCTCTCTCTGTTTTGGTTTAATTTTTTTTACTAACCAGTCTCTGTTGTTAGTTGTTCCCCACCACCCCTCCCAGCTCTTCAATATATTTATTTCTCAAGACTTGGTCTCCTTAGTTTCTTTCTTTGCGTCCTATCCTTGTTACTTGTTCAAACTCACAGCTTTGTTTTCTTTGTAAAGTTGATCTCAAATCTCTATCAGTCGGTCGGCCAGGCCCCAGGCGAGCACAGCTGTGCGCTGGCCCGTGGCTGGTGAGAATTCGGAGTTCCCACAGGCGTGGTGCCCAAGAGGCCGCAGTCATTACAGCCTGCGGCCCCTTGTAATGACTGTGGGTATTTTATGTAACTTACGAGGTAAACCCTTGCAATTCTTATGTCTCTTTCTACCAAGTTCCTGTTCTTTCCCCAAATTGAGTAGCTTCATTTTCCTAAGCTTAAAAATACTCTTTGGTTTGCCCCATCCCTCCATTCAGCTCTTTACAAAGTCTTATGTATCCTGCCTTCTAAATATCTCACCAGTCCATCTCTGCTTTTTCATTCCCCAAACTACCCCTCATGTCTAAGCATCTGTGCTCTCAGATCTGGACTGTGCCAGCAGTCACTGAAACCCTCCCTATGACACCTGCACTGCAGTCAAAACGATGCCTTCAGCGATAGTCTTCTGGTTAGATTACTCAGTTAAAAAAGCAAAACAAAGCACACCCACCATGCACACACACAACATGTTAAAAGCTCATTTTTACCTGAATATTTTCCCATTCTCTTGTTCTCAATTAACATACCAAATGTATTGCCAAATTGTCTACAGAAAAGGTAAGCCCTGGTCGGTGTGGCTCAGTGAGTGGGGGTGTCATGCCTTCAACAAAAGATTTCGGGTTTGATTCCTGGTCAGGGAGCATACAGGAGGCAACCAATCAATGTTTTTCACATTGGTGTTCCTCTCTCTCTCATTCTCTCCCTCCCCCTCTCTCTAAATCAATAAACATATCTTCCTTCCAGTAAAGCTTAAAAATAGAAGAGGTAACTTTTTGTTATAATTTTCTTGTGAATGGTGAATTCCAAAAGCCTATCCTATATAATAAAACCCTAATATGCAAATCGACCGAATGACAGAACAACCGGTAGAATGACTGGTCGCTATGACACGCACTGATCACCAGGGGAAGACACTCAATGCAGGAGCTGCCTCCCACCTTCACCCCCCACCCCCGAATCACTCCATTGTTTGCCCTGCAGATTGGCCCTGCTCACTGGCCAGGCCTAGGAACCTTACCCGTGCACCTGGCCTCCAGTATAAATTTGATTAGATAAGCTTTTAAGAAAGGATGATTTTAATGTTAAGGTGAGTTAGTATTTCAAATGTATAGGCCAATTTTAGAACTATAAGTTGAATTATATTTTCTCTTGGATCTCCACTACTCTTTGACTTAGAATTTAATGCTGTAATTATCCGTGATTGAAATCAGATCAAAGCAGAAAGATGACCAACTGATTAACTAATAAGTACAGCTAGTAAAAGTAGTTAGTTGAAGGACACTGGAGAGGGTAAAAGGTGTGTGGGCTTTTTGTTGTCAACTTCACACAAATATGAGAAATGATTTTTTTGTTTTTATTGTCAGGGTATGTAGACTGTACTGTCCCCAGCTTGGCAGGAATAACACAATACACACACATACACATACATGACGTAGAGGAAAGCAGTTGATACCGTTGAACACGCTGAAACTTACTAGAAGGAGCTAGAACCACGTTTTCTCAGCTTGGAACACTATTATCTGGTGGTGAGTACAGCGAGAACCGGTGCTGCCTAAAGACAGAACGACAGGAGCACCCGAGGACGGGTGTCTTCACAAACGCGCCACCCTCTCTCTCCAAAGCCGAGCGGCTCCTTTTCTCAGCTGAGGGATGAAGTCTTCCTGAAATATTCCTACCTTTTTGAATAAACGGAAATAACTCAGTCATGCGTGCTCCATTGCTATATGCTGTTAGTTCGACTGGACAAAACACAGCTTTGGGTTCATCAAGTCTGTGTTTGGGTTGGGGAGAGGAAT